ATTGTTTTGAGATATGTCCCATCAATACCTAATTTATTGAGAGGTTTTAGCATGAAGGGTTGTTGAATTTTGTTGAAGGCCTTTTCTGAATCTGTTGAGATAATCATGTGGTTTTTGTCTTTGGTTCTGTTTATATGATGGATTACGTTTATTGATTTGCATATGTTGAACCAGCCTTGCATCCCAGGGATGAAGCCAACTTCATCATGGTGGATAAGCTTTTTGATGTGCTGCTGGATTCGGTTTGCCGGTATTTTATTGAGGATTTTTGCATCGATGTTCATCAGAGATACTGGTCTAAAATTCTCTTTTTTTGTTGTGTCTCTACCAAGCTTTGGTATCAGGATGATGCTGGCCTCATACAATGAGTTAGGGAGGATTTCCTCTTTTTCTATTGATTGGAATAGTTTCAGAAGGAATGGCACCAGCTCCTCTTTGTACCTCTGGTAGAATTCGGCTATGAATCTGTCTGGTCTTGGGCTTTTTTGGTTGGTAGGCTCTTAATTATTGCCTCAATTTCAGAGCCTGTCATTGGTCTATTCAGGAATTCAACTTCTTCCTGGTTTAGTTTTAGGAGGGTGAACGTGTCCAGGAATTTATCCATTTCTTCTAGATTTTCTAGTTTATTTGCATAGAGGTGTTTATAGTATTCTCTGATGGTAGGTTGTATTTCTGTGGGATTGGTGGTAATATCCCCTTTATCATTTTTTATTGCATCTATTTGATTCTTCTTTCTTTTATTCTTTATTAGTTTTGCTAGTGGTCTATCTATTTTGTTGATCTTTTCAAAAAACCGGCTTCTGGATTCATTGATTTTTTGAAGGGTTTTTTTTTGTCTCTATCTCCTTCAGTTCTGCTCTGATCTTAGTTATTTCTTCTGCTAGCTTTTGAATGTGTCTGCTCTTGCTTCTCTAGTTCTTTTAATTGTGATGTTAGGATGTCAATTTTAGATCTTTCCTGCTTTCTCTTGTGGGCATTTAGTGCTATAAATTTCCCTCTACACATTGCTTTAAATGTGTCTCAAAGATTACGGTACGTTGTGTCTTTGTTCTCATTGGTTGCAAAGAACATCTTTATTTCAAAGAACATCTTTATTTCTGTCTTCATTTCATTATGTACCCAGTAGTCATTCAGGAGCAGGTTGTTCAGTTTCTATGTGGTTGAGTGGTTTTGAGTGAGTTTCTTAATCCTGAATTCTAGTTTGATTGCACTATGGTCCGAGAGACAGTTTGTTATAATTTCTGTTGTTTTACGTTTGCTGCGGAGTGCTTTACTTCCAACTATGTGGTCAATTCTGGAATAAGTGTGATGTGGTGCTGAGAAGAATGTATATTCTGTTGATTTGGGATAGAGAGTTCTGTAGATGTCTATTAGGTCTGCTTGGTGCAGAGCTGAGTTCAATTCCTGAATATCCTGGTTAACTTTTTGTCTTGTGGATCTAATGTTGACAGTGGGGTGTTAAAGTCTGCTATTATTATTTTGTGGGAATCTAAGTCTCTTTGTAGGTCTCTAAGGACTTGCTTTACGAATCTGGGTGCTCCTATATTGGGTGCATATATATTTAGGATAGTTAGCTCTTCTTGTTGAATTGATCCCTTTACCATTATGTAACGGCCCTCTTTGTCTCTTCTGATCTTTGTTGGTTTAAAGTCTGTTTTATCAGATACTAGGATTGCAACGCCTGCTTTTTTTTGTTTTCCATTTGCTTGGTAGATCTTCCTCCATCCCTTTATTTTGAGCCTATGTGTGTCTCTGCATGTGAGATGTGTCTCCTGAATACAGCACACTGATGGGTCTTGACTCTTTATCCAATTTGCCAGTCTGTGTCTTTTAATTGGGGCATTTAGCCCATTTACATTTAAGATTAATATTGTTATGTGTGAATTTGATCCTCTCATTTTGGCGTTAGCTGGTTATTTTGCTCGTTAGTTGATGCAGTTTCTTCCTAGCATCGATGGTCTTTACAATTTGGCGTGTTTTTGCAGTGGTTGGTACTGGTTGTTCCTTTCCATGTTTTGTGCTTTCTTCAGGAGCTCTTGTAAGGCAGGCCTGCTGGTGACAAAATCTCTCAGCATTTGCTTGTCTGTAAAGGATTTTATTTCTCCTTCACTTATGAAGCTTAGTTTGGCTGGATATGAAATTCTGGGTTGAAATTTTTTTTTTTTTTTTTTGAGACGGGGTCTCTCTCTGTCGCCCCAGGCAGGAGTGCAGTGGCCGGATCTCAGCTCACTGCAAGCTCTGCCTCCCGGGTTCACACCATTCTCCTGCCTCAGCCTCCCGTGTAGCTGGGACTACAGGCGCCCGCCACCTCGCCGGCTAGTTTTTTGTATTTTTTAGTAGAAACGGGGTTTCACCTTGTTAGCCAGGATGGTCTTGATCTCCTGACCTCGTGATTCGCCCATCTCAGCCTCCCAAAGTGCTGGGATTACAGGCTTGAGCCACTGCGCCCGGCCAAAAATTTAAGAATATTGAATATTGGTCCCCACTTTCTTCTGGCTTGTAGAGTTTCTGCTGAGAGTTCTGCTGTTAGTCTGATGGGCTTTGCTTTGTGGGTAACCCGACCTTTCTCTCTGGCTGCCCTTAACATTTTTTCCTTCATTTCAACTTTGGTGAATCTGACAATTATGTGTCTTGGAGTTGCTCTTCTTGAGGAGTATCTTTGTGGCAGTCTCTGTATTTCGAATTTGAATTTTGTCCTGCCTTGCTAGGTTGGGGAAGTTCTCCTGGATAATGTCCTGCAGAGTGTTTTCCAGCTTGGTTCCATTCTCTCCGTCACTTTCAGGTACACCAATCAGACATAGATTTGGTCTTTTCACATAGTCCCATATTTCTTGGAGGCGTTGTTCATTTCTTTTCACTCTTTTTTCTCTAAACTTCTCTTCTTGCTTCATTTCATTCGTTTGATCTTCAGTCACTGATACCCTTTCTTCCAGTTGATCAAATCAGCTACTGAAGCTTGTGCATGCGTCACGCAGTGCTCGTGCCATGGTTTTCAGCTCCATCAGGTCATTTAAAGTCTTCTCTACACTGTTTATTCTAATTAGCCATTCATCCAATCTTTTTTCCAAGGTTTTTAGCTTCTTTGCAATGGGTTCGAACATCCTTCTTCAGCTCGGAGAAGTTTGTTGTTAACGATCTTCTGAAGCCTTCTTCTCTCAACTTGTCAAAGTCATTTTCCATTCAGCTTTGTTCCATTGCTGGCAAGGAGCTGCATTCCTCAGTTGGAAATGCAGAAATCACCCGTCTTCTGCATCGCTCACGCTGGGAGCTGTAGACTGGAGCTGTTCCTATTTGGCCATCTTGGAACCTCCCAAGTATATCTTTTCATTCTGATGTTTTGACATCTGAGACCTGACTGTCCCTCCGAGGGCTGGCCAATTCCTAGAGACAGTAAATGACTCACCTGGGAACATACCTGTCATATGCACCCCCACCAACCCAGAGTTCCTAATGCCCAACAACCTCCTTTATCAAACTCATACATTCCCAGGCTACCATCTGCCTGCTGTAATTATCAGAGGACCAGTACCAGACAGCAAGGGACAGCCCCTATGCCAGAGAGCTGGCTGAATTACTCAAACTAGACAATTCTAAATCTGCTTAGATTGCTTACTCTGCCTTGCCTATATTCCTTCTATGAAAACCACAATACGGCCTCTTGCCTGTGCTCCCTGCCTTCTGCCTCCTGGAGGTTGGTGCGCCCCCGTGTGGCCCTGCATGGTGTGGCATGCCTCCTCCTCTTGGGAACTGTGAGTAACAAACGATCTTTTCATTGCCAGCTGTCTCCTGATCTGTTGGCCTCACCACACCTGAATAAGAAGACCTGCATTTTAAAACACTGTGTTGTTGATTTTTTTTTTTTTTTTTTTTTTTTTAGGGAGCTGAGTAATTTTTTTGGCAAGGTAAAATCCACATATAGTGAATTGCACAGATCTTAAGTGTACAGTTCAATGAATTTTGACACACCCATAATCCATACAACCAACCCAGAGTGAGAACATTTTCATCACCCAAGAAAGTTCCTTCATGTCCCCTTCAATTGATCTTTTAAGCTCCACTGTTTGGCATTCTTTCCAGTGAGCAGTCCAAACAGTCTTAGAACAAAATGGCTGCCTGTGTGATTCTCAGGAGTCAAACTCTCTAAAAAGCCAGTGGCAGCCTCAGCTGAAGTTTCTAGAAAACTCAGAACTAGGACTCCTGTCAAAACTAGGACACCTTTTGCCTCAAAGGGCCCGGAGAAGTCCCGGAGCAAGAATGTGTCTTAAACAAGAGTACTATGGAATGAAAGGAAAGTCAGAAAGAGTTTTTCCTTGTGATACAGGGTGAGACGTCACTCAGAGGCTTCCCCTAAAAAGCCCACATCGCCAGTTGGAATTGATCTCCCTTGCTCATATTCTCTTAGAACTTTGCTTAGAAGCACATAATCTCTGTCCTGGCAAAGATTATAGAGGTCATCCCTTACAAAATAACCTAATTCAAAATCAGGAAAATGACTTTTTGGATGAACTTTTATCTTTCTTTTATAAAATGGAGATGCAAAGATTCAAGTGTCATTTTTACTTTGGCTGCCAGGAAACTCAGCTAAATCCAGTACTTACGTCAAACCATGAATTCATCTCAGATGTCTGATAACATCTATTTCTCTACTCCTTTTACCTAGTTTTTTTTTTTTTTCCAATTTCAATTTTAGTTGTCTTGTTTTATACATTGATTTTTTTGTAAGCTGCCTGAAAAGTTCTTGCCCTTTTATAACACCTATGGTGCACTAGACTTATTTATGTATATACCTGTCTTCCTTTCTCTTCCACAGCTTAACAAAATGCTTTGCTTAATGAAGGGTATAATAAATATGTTAAAAATCCAATTGAATATGATCAGAAGAGATCTTCTTCTAGATTTTACCCTTTTCCCTTCTTTAAAAAATATTCTCTGAAGGTCAGCCATGATGTAGGAGCAGGTAGAATTGGCAGGACCCTCTCCCCCTCACCATCCCAGGCTGTCCCTCAGGAGCGCCCATGCACCTGGGACCTACCTCTTCTGTGGGCTTTCTCTTTTGGCGGGTGTTGGATGTGGTAATGAATCTCCACTGGGAAGATGAAGAGCTCTGTTGGGGGCTCATTGGCTTTAAATTGACTCTTCAGGGGCTCCAAGACTCTGGGTGGTTCTTCTGAGATAGGAGGTAATTTCAAAGCCTTTGGTGCCTGGAGAAAATTTAAAAACAAAACGAACATGGCAGGTGTCCAAACCCTGCTGCCTGCAGGGGCAAACGATACTGTCTCTTATTGTATCTCTTGCACCCGGAGCTGCTGAGAGAGGTAAGCTAATCCAGCTGGGAGCCGGTATCTGACTTCAGTGGTACCACTTGGTGTCCTGGGATCCAAAATATGCCCCTGTTAATCCTGCCTGTGATTCCTCTGAGAATTATAAACATGCTCAGTTTAAGAGCCTTTGAGAGGATATATAGTCTTTCTTTTTCTTGCAGCTGGAAAAACTGAGCCAGACTAATACGACATATCTGAGATCTCTTTGAACTGATTGGGAGAAATCTCAGCATATGTTGTTAAGGGAAAAAGCAAAGTACAGAACATTGTTTGAGCAAGCTTTCCACTAAGAAGCGGCAGGAAATAGCATTTGTGATTGCTGACCTTATCTATGCTAAGCCACAGTTTCTTCCTCTGTAAAATAAGAGTAATCATACTATCTACATCATAAGGTTGTTGTAAGAATTAAATGAGCTAATATCTGCAATTATAATAGTGTTTGAAACTAGGATTATTTCCATATTTCTTTGAGAGTAGACTCTCTTCTCATTAGCATTTATCTAGCCACTAGCAGAAAAAATGGGAGCTTTTTCATGCTTGTGTAATATGAACATAGCTGAAAAAGAATCATTGTGTGGCAGAATCAGCAACTGATTTTGTCCAGTTTTTTTCTGTCCCCCAAAAAGTGTGTGTGTGTGCGTGTATGTGTATGTGTATGTGTATGTGTTTGTGTATGTGTATGTGTGTGTGTATATGAGAGATTCACTGGGGGTAGTAGATCCTCCTGTTTCTAATTATTCAGAGGTTGCTGAAAATTTCTCCTTTTAGTTTGCAACTTTTAACATAGGAACTTGGCTCTGTGAAATGTATACATGTGCTGGTTTCAGGAGTTCAGTTTCATAGGAGGAAAAAGAAAAGCATTAGGCCTGCTGTTTGCTCCTGGTCCAAAGAAATCTGGGAAGTCAGACACCCTTCTAGTGTCTCCTTTTTAGTACTCAAAAAGAAAAAAAAAGATCAGAAGCATACATAAGCAACCTGTGTATTTAGAGTTGATTGAGGAAGGAAATTCAACCAAATCTTTGCAGGGTAATATTTATAATTTCGAGACATTAAGCAAATGATAAACCAAACACACGCACATAGGATCTTTATGTTCCTGGAGACCTTCACTGTCCAGGTGCCGGCTGCCCACACCAACTGCCCTGTTTTGAATACTGACCGTGTGCATTTTGTTTGACAAGGTTTGCATTGAGAAATCAATGTGGACACTCAAATGATTTGTGTGAGGTATGGCTGACAAGCCAAGATTTAATTTCTTTACCCTAATTAAAAATTTACAGAGTTTTAGTATGGTGGGAAATATTGCTTTGCTCTGTGAAACCACATACATGGGCGGAGGGAACAGACTCCTTTCCTCTGGGCCTGGCTCAGTTCTGAGCGGACCCAGGAGCAAAGTTGAGGGCTTTCCTTAGGCCTGTGGTGAGCCTGGCAGGTCAGGCCTGCTGTTCACTCCTGCACCAAAGGAACCTGGGAAGACAGAAGCCCTTCTGGCGTGGATGGAAAGGTTTAGATCAACTCAGACACAGGAAATCTGAGAAAATCTTGAACAGACTGTAAACAACCTCCCTCACTGGCAGCAGGACCACCTGGAGTGCCCATGGCTGCTTGAGGAACACCTCAGATGACACGAATCCCTACAATTAATCAACATCGCTGTAGATCACAGTCAGATACAACGTACTTTCCTAAGAGTGCTTCATCTTTTCTACCAGCCCTGTAAGGTTGACGTTATTATCTGTATACACAGATAATATATATAACAAAGTCACTGTGCTCAGAGTGTGTGAGTGACCTGCTCATGTTCCCATGGCTACTCCGGGCAGAACATCCTGGGGCCCTTGCTTGTCCCCAGTCATCACTGGTGCTTCCAAACACTGAAGAAAGGCCCACATAGAACTGCAAGGCAGGACCAGACCAGAGACAGCCAAGGGCATCTCTAATAAAGAAGGTGTATTTGGCTCCCAAAGGAGGTGGATAGACTTGCAAAATTTCCCCTACATTTTCAAAGGCGATAGACCCTCAGTGGAGCCAAACCGTTGCTGGATTCAAGATCTCCAGCATTTTGAATCTGAAGTGGGTTTACTGCTTACAAACTCAAATTCTGTCCTTTAAAACGTTTACAGATAATCCCTTGCCCCTTAAGAAATCAAAGAATTCTGTCGCTGTCAGGGAGTGTGGTAATAACACATGCTTTAAGGTAGAATTGGTGGCAGCTGAAATTCCTTGCCCTTCACAATTTTCAATCTTTAGTAAATTACTACAGTTCTATTCCAGCTCCGCCTGGTCAGTTCAGACGCTAGAGATGCCAGTTCTCTTCTGAGACATCCTTCTGAGTCACCTTATTTCTAGATTGGGATTAATCTCTCTCTCTTCCCTCCTCTCTCTCTCTTTCTCCTGCGTGCACAAACATACATATACACACAACCTTTTTCTTCTTCACTTCTCCAGGGGTGATTATTCCGGAGCCAGTGGCAGATGCTACAGGAGGGAAGAGGCATCTTTCAGCAGGAAGCGACTGTAACAAGTGGCCGCTTCTGGCCTTGTGGAGTTTCACATTCCTTTGTTTATCTTTAAAAACAGGATGAGAATGAGAATATATTAATTGCAGGTATGGGGATGAACAGTTGAGTTTTGACCTTTATCATATTGTGGTTAATGGGGAGAAAGGCAGGGAGTGTGCTTGGGCGCTGGGACAGCCTTAGCCTTGCGGGCGGGAGGTTCAGAGAGCCCTAGTCTCCTGATCTGGGTTGAGGTCTTGCTGGCTGAGTCAGGCAGTAAAGAGAACGATAACGATAATAATTAATATTTATTGAGCTCTAAATATGGGGAAAGAGTTATATAGATATTTCATGTACATTAACTCAATTTACACAATAGACTTATGGGGTTATCATTATCCCCATTCTACAGATGAGAAAACTGAGCATCAGCAATATTGGTTAATATGCCCAAGATCACAGCTGTAAGTGGGGGTAACTTGAGCCTAGAAAGTGTGATTTCCGAATGCATGCAGCTAAGCACTAGACAAAGAGGCACCTGCCAGAGTCTCATTCCCATGTCCAGCTAGATTCTGGCTTTTATTTTCTAAGGTGAGTGGCACAAGGAAGTGATGTTTGGCATGCTTCAGTGACCTTATATGGACTCTGCATGACTGGGTTTACCCAGATCAGTGAGCAAGACATCTGGGTTCTTACCGCTGAGATCTGCCTTCCTATTAGGGAAGGTGCCTCCACAGAACATAATGTGGGATTTGTCACTTGGGAGACAAGAGTAATCGATGTGGCCATGCCCAAAGGCCTTCCTGAAGGTTTGCTGTGTCTTTTCATTGTATCTTTCCTTTGAAGCGTATAAATGAAGGTGATTCTCTATTGACGTGTCCTAGGGAACGACAAATACACATTCCTGTAAACAGGCTATTGTAAAGGGCAGAGCAGGTTTCTTTAACAGCCCTCGTGGTTAGGCTTGTGGTTTCAAGTATGAAATTTCCTTTGCAGGTTGGGAAGAAAAATAAGGTTATAACAGCAAGCTCTCTAATGCTGTTTATTACAATAAAACATTTTATTGTTGTTGATAGAAAGAATGATACTTAGCCATGCCTGACATACAGTGCTATCTTGTGGAAAAAAATCACAAAATTTTGATTAAAAATCAAAATGAAGTGCTAGTATTGGTGTCTTTATCCATTATGAAATGTTTCTCAGGCTGAACACAGTGGCTCACACCTGTAATCCTAGCACTTTGGGAGGCCTAGGGAGGAGGATTGCTTGAGCTCAGGAGTTTGAGACCAGCCTGGGCAACATGGCAAGACCCAATCTCTACAAAAAAATTTAAAAAATTAGCCAGGCATGGTGGCACACACTTGTAGTCCCAGCTACTTAGGCGGCTGAGGCAAGAGGATTGCTTGAGCCCAGGAGGTCAAGGCTGTAGTGAGCTGTGGTAGCGCCTCTGCACTCCAGCCTGGGCAACAGAGCAAGATGGTGTCCCTTCCCTATCACCCCCCAAAAATAAAGGTCTCTCTCCACTGCCCTTCCACTCTGTGGCTCTTCTCCCCCTTTCCTCTTCTCCTTGGTGTATGACCTTCTGAAGGTCTGAATACAAATGACCTTCTTGTATTCAGGATGGGAGCAGACATTGTCTATGTTGCTCTGAACAATTGTTATCTTGTACACACACACACACACACACACACATACACACACACACACACACACAACCTTAGAGTTTAGAAAGTGTTTCTACATTGTAACTCATTTAATCCTCACAGTAACCTTGTGAGACAAGATAATAGCTCCATTTTACAGAAGAGGTGAATTCAGGCTCAAAGTTAGTTAACGATTCTTGAACAGGCTTATCATAACTAGCAAAAAGCAGGACCCAAACCAAGGCTTTTCTGAGTCTAAGGCAATAGCTATTTTCCAAACAAGATTAACAGCTGCCAAGATGAGCAAAGAGTCAGGGGAGAATCTGTGGTTACCTAAGTTTGGAAAACCCAGAGTTTAACAAAGTTAAGCTGGTGACTATGTTACAGAACTTCTTGAAGTTCTCTGTATCTACGCATGTGACTTTCCAGGAGGAGAAGGCATGCAGAACTTCCCCAATGTATTTGCCTATGAAACTCTTATTTATTTATTTAGAGGCAGGGTTTTGCTCTGTTGCCTAGGCTGGAGTGCAATGGTGCGATCTTGGCTTACTACAATCTCCTCCTCCCAGGTTCAAGCGATTCTCCTGCCTCAGCCTCCCGAGTAACTGGGATTACAGTGCCCGCCACCATGCTTGGCTAATTTTTGTATTTTTAGTAGAGACGGGGTTTTGCCATGTTGGCCAGGCTGGCCTCGAACTCCTGGCCTCAGGTGATCCATCTGCCTCGGTCTCCCAAAGTACTGGGATTACAGGTGTGAGCCACCGCACCCAGCCAAAATTTTGTTAAATGGAGCATCTTGCAATGCTAGAGTTCTATATGTGACACTTCGGGGAAATGGTGGTCAAAAGGGTCAAAGTACTCTTCCCGTCTGTGGAGGTATCAAGAAATGGCAAAGGGAGAGAGAATCCTCTCGGTAGTCAAGAACAATGACAGAGGAGAGCACATTAGAAGTGGTACCTCTGGCCAGGCTCGGTGGCTCATGCCTGTAATCCTAGCACTTTGGGAGGCTGAGGCCGGCAGATTGCCTGAGCTTAGGAGTTCGAGACCAGCCTGGGCAACATGGTGAAACCCCATCTCTACTAAAATACAAAAAAGTAGCCAGGCCTGGTGGTACTTACCTGTAGTCCCAGCTACTCTGGAGGCTGAGGCAGGAGAAATGCTTGAACCTGAGAGGTGGAGGTTGCAGTGAGCCAAAATCACGCCATTGCGCTCCAGCCTGGGTGACAGAGTGAGACTCCAACTAGGGGGAAAAGAAAAAAAAAAAAAAAGAAATGGTACCTCTGCCCACGTTTCGTCTTCCTGCCAGGGCTGCTTCCTGAGTGGTGGCAAGCGAGTCCCCTGACTGCCATGGTTCTTGGCTAGAGGGCCCTGGTCCACATGTCCAGCAGCTCCAGCTTCCCCTTCATCCAGGCCCTGTTGACCTGCCAAGGTGAACAACGGGTCAGCTCGTCACCCTGGAAATGGACGCGGTGTTCTTGCTGCCTCCAAACTGCCTCCCTTCTTGCTTCTCTGAGTAAAGGTGCTCAAGGCCCTCCCTTGCTACCCCTCCTCCCTTATTTGGTATTTCTGATAGTGCCTCCTTGGAAGTGGCAGCCAGGTCTGTGGAAACAGAGTTGCACTAGCAGTCAGGAGGCTCAGGGTTGAGTCTTCATTTCTTAGACACAGTTTCCCCATCTGTAAAATGGGGATATGGATTTCTTGCCCTCACTTCCTTGTAGAGTTATCTGGAGCTCAAATAAGATAATGAATGTGACAGCCCTTTGTAAACTGTGAGGGATTAGTGGATGACAGTGGTGTGATTATGGTGGCGTGACCTGCAGCCTGCTCTGTTGTCATGAAGGTGCTCAGCCTGAAGCAAGCTCTTGGGATTCCAGGGCTGTCTCCTGGCTCTTTATTTGTAGAGAAGCCTCTGCCGAATGCAATGAGGTGAGACTGCTGTTTAGCTCTCTGAACTTATACTGTCTGCAACCCTCAGGAAGGATCTGAGTCAACAGATGACTCCAACATAGTTAACAAATCTTTCATCAATGGTTTAAGGGGTCCTGCAGCTGTTTTCATCACTTTCTCAAGGTAGATTTATTGCTGAAACAGTCTGGCAAAGCTTCCTTGTTTGGAGCCAAGTTTTAGCAATACCTTTATTCCCAGCATGCGGCTCCATGGAACAATGCGGGGTTGTCTTTCAACTAGGGGCTCTGGAAGGCTTTGGGGGCCTGTGTGTGATGGATCACAAGACTTCTGGGAGCTGCTTCTCCTCCTGCCTCCAGCCAGCCTCACCTTCCCTCTCGGCTCCCGTTCATTATTTCCATCCTTGGCGTCACTGGGCCAAGAGTCAATAGCCTACAGGTGGGGCTACTCCCTCCCTCCAGCTCTCCTTCCTTTGCCCAGTGGCTCCTGAAGGCCGTGCTAGAAGTGAACTGAGGCTGAGTGTTGGTGGAAGAAATACAGGCTCAGGCTCAGGTTCAGGTTCAGAGGGTCTGCTCTGGTTTTAGTGGCCCAGGGAAATCTGATGGGCTGGGGACTCATTAATATGAGGTGACCCGGGGCTACATTAGGCCTGCTCCTGAGAGGATCTCAACTCCATACAGAGAGCAGCACTAAAGACCTTTGGGGATATTCTAGAATGATTCCTTGTAGAATGATTCCTTGGGGTCAAACCGGATACTAACTAGGTCCATCTTTTCTGATCAGATTCACCTGGAACCAAATGCATTTCTGAGGGTAGAGGAAGTGAAACTCTAGCCAAATGGCCACTTACCTACTAAATAGGTTTTTTTTTTGGTTTTGTTTTTTTGTGGGGGGCGCAGGGGACATAGTCTCACTCTGTCACCCAGGCTGGAATGCAGTGGTGTTATCTTGGCTCACTGCAACCTCCACCTCCCAGGTTCAAGTGATTCTCCTGCCTCAGCCTCCCGAGTAGCTGGGATCATAGGCATGCACCACCACACCCAGCTAATTTTTGTATTTTTAGTAGAGACGGGGGTTTCACCATGTTGGCCAGACTGGTCTCAAACTGCAGACGTCAAGTGATCCACCTGCCTCAGTCTCCCAAAGTGTTGGGATTACAGGCGTGAGCCACTGCGCCCAGTCTGAACAGTCTTACACATTGGGTCTCTAAGTTGGGGTAGGGGGCATTGTGAGTAGGCGGAACAGAGAGACAATTTTCCCTTTGGTGATATCCCAGGTGAGTTTGAATATGTGACTCAAGCAACGTGAGGGGAAACAGAATTTTTTTTCTTAGTAAACATCATGATCTGATTCATTTATTTGTGCTTAATAGAAACAGATTTGCAAGTAAAGTATTGGAAGCTTCAGTTGTTGAAAGGAGACCACAAAACTTAGTCTCTCTGGATCTCAGATATGGATTCAGATAATCCAGATAATGTGCCTTGGAGTAGCTCTGTCCTCTCCTGTTATTTTTCACAAACAACCAGGGAGGAAGGAATGCAAACCCCAGTATTTGCATTTTACATATGCACAAACTGAAGATGCAGAGAGCATAAGTGACTTAGCCAACATCATATTGTTGGAGACCTGGGATTTGCAGCTGGGACTTTTGCTACTTCTTCAGATACAGTGTTGGGCAAAGAGAGGGAAACCAGTGGAAGATAAGGTTCAAACAAATGAAAACATCAGTCAGGGTTCAAGTTACAGCCACTGAACTATTTTTGCTTCTTTTAAAATAGATTTTTTTGGCCACTGTGATCATGGGTAGTTGGGCATTCCAACAAGCTAAGGAGGTATAATGAACATTTACTGAGCACATAGTATGTGCCCGCTTCTAGTACTACAGTATCTCATTTAATTCCCACATGCAACCCTGTGAGATAAAGATGGGTATGGTCATCTCCATTTCATAAATGAGAAAACCGAGGCCCAGAGTGGCTATATGGCTTGGAATCAGTGCTAATGGTCACATGTTTAATCACTATTTGATACAGTCTCTTTGTTTTCTGCCTGATTGTGACAGCTCCTTAGTATATGGCTTCAATTAGGAAAGTCACTTTATCCCTCAGGTGTGCAGTGTTACTCCAGCCATAAAATGAAAGCCCTGAGGCCGAGAGCAGTGACTGATGCCTGTAATCCCAGCACTTTGGGAGGCCAAGGGGGGAGGAGCACTTGAGAACAGGAGTTTGAAACCAGCCTGGGCAACATGGTGAAACTCCATCTCCACAAAAAAATACAAAAATTAGCTGGGAGTGGTGATGTGCTCCTACAGTTCCAGCTACTTAGGAGGCTAAGTGGGAGGATCGCTTGAGCCCAGGAATTCAAGGCTGCAGTGAGCCGTAATCACACGGCTGCTCTTCGGCTTGGGTGACAGAACAAGAGCAAGACCTTGTCTCTAAAAAAAAAAATAAAAAGTAGAATAAAATAAAAAAGAAAAGAAAAAGAAAAAAAGAGACTCAAGTGAGATGTGTGGTTGGTTGAACTATGTAATGGCCTCAGGCCCTGAGAACCTGCCATGTTCTTCTCCTTTCATTTGATAAACCAGATTCTCTACTTATCCTGACCAGATCATTTCCCCAAAGATGGGGGTTGGTCAGCCACTGCCACTGTTTCTGGAAAATTTCATTATACATATTTTAGAGGCAGGGTCTCAGGCTGGAGTGCAGTGGTGCCATCATAGCTCACTACAGCCTTGAATTCCTGGGCTCAAGTGATCCTCCTGCCTCAACCTCCCAAGTAGCTGGGACTACAGGCATGTGCCACCACGCCCAGCTTAAATTTTAAATTTTTTGTAGAGACAGGGTCTCACTATGTTGCCCAGGCTGGTCTCAAACTCCTAGCCTCAAGCAATCCTCCCTCCTTGGCCTCCCAAAATGTTGGGATTACAGGAATGAGCCACTGAGTCTGGCCAAAAATCTTATGTTGGGCTCTTGTTCTTTTATTTTCTCAAGAACTCTGCTACCAGCCAAGGCTCTTGTCTTTGCCTATTACTGCTACCCAGTTGTCTTTTCACATCTCCCTTACCAAAGGCAACTTCTGGCTCTTTTAATGCTTCAAGTTCCATAGAATAATATTGACAGGGTCAATCCCCATACTACTAAACAGTTTACAGATGGCTTGCAATAATTTTCTGTATAGCCACGATGTAGATCTTATTGTGCCCATTACACAGATGAGCAAACAGAAGCTCAAAGAGGTTAAATGACTTGCTTAAGATCTTACACTAGTAAGTGAGAGAACAGCCATTTCGATACATATTTCTGGCTCCAAATCCTATATATATATTTCACATTATATTGCCACAAAAATCACAGGATTAAGGAATATAAGAGTGAAACAGATCTAAGAAATCATCTAAAATCTAGAGTCTAGACCTACACTGCCAAACACAGTAGCCACCAGCTGCATGTGGTTATTTAGATATAAATTAATTAATATAAAATAAAATAAAAAGCTCAGTTTCACTGTTGTAATTACTACATTTCAAGTGCTCAATAGCCACATGTTGCTAATGGCCACTTTATTGGACAGCCCATAGGGAACATTCCATCACTGTGAAAAGCGTTATTGGACAGTGCTGGTCTGCACTCACCCCTCATTTTACAGATTGAGGACTATGCAACCCAGAATCCGAAGACCTTGTTTTGGGAAACGCCATTTTAAGGTGTTAACAATTCAAATATCTGAGAACCGGTCATAAAATCAACATGCAAATCAACATGTACCTTGTTCAAAAGATTTTCCTTGTTGAATCCAAAATGAAGGGAAGACAGGCAGGAGATGGTATTTTGGGGGTACACCTGAAAGATCTTGTTGTGGCCTGAGCTTCTTTGGTACATTAAGTTGACTGTCCTGGAGCAGCACAGAATCCTTGATGTATCCTGAACAGCAGATCAGGGGATATTGATAGAAACAGTGGTCGCCAACTTCAAGTTCTCAGCGGTAACTACAAGGTTCCTCACTTGCACTAGTCTTGGCTTTGGACATTGCCCATTAGGGAAGACAATTAGAAGATGAGGGAGATTAAAAAGTCGGATAGAACCCATAGAGGCTTGTCTATCCAGTGTCTTAGGTGCTTCTGGTTCTGTGCTACATGTGTACTTCCTCCATCCCATCATTCCCAAGAAATGGGTCTCCCTGGTGGAAGGAACATGGCTGCTTCTTTGGGGGCAAAAAGCTCCTCCTGCCTCAGGAGGAGATCCAGTGGTAGTGGATGTATCCTATTTGCTTCTGTAGGCCCCATGGTCAGCAGCCTCCTCAATCCATCATTCTATAAGTATTTATTGAGGGCTTCCCTATGGGCTCACCCCTCAGCTAATCAGTGAAGTAGATACAATGGAACCAAACTTGGGCCCTTTTAAAAGGCACTCAGTAGTCTATTGGAGAGGCAAAGCTCTCTTGTGTTCTGTATAGCTCTGAGTGTCAGTGTAATATAAGGTCAGAAAACAAGGAGCTCAATATTGACTGGAGTTTTCAGCAAAGACTTTGCAGAAGGTGTGAGCTTGAAGGGTGGGGAGGATTAATCATAGGGGTGTAAAGAAGTCCCAGAGAATATATACATTAGTGTCACAAAGTGGGGAGTTCCGAGATGTGCAGGAAGAGGGTGGTGGGGCCATTGGACTGATGGGCTCACATCAGATTCTTGCCATTGTGCCTCCAGCTTGAGGGTCTCACCTTCAAGAGGGACTTTGGCAAGAAATTATGGCAAGGAGCTCAAGAATGCATTTGTGTGTGTGTATCTTTCCTTAAACCATACATTTTAGCCATAGACTCCCATGGAGGACTCGGAGACTTTTTTTGAGGCTAAGAGGGTCCTTCATTCTGGGGAATGTTGCACCTAGGCTATAGGAGAGTGGCCTGCTCTGCCCTCTGCCCCACCCAATGACAAACACTTCTTTGGTTAAGTGGCTCTTTCTCAAAAGTGTCAAATAAATGGAACTGCCTATAACTGTGGAACTACCCTGAGAGTAAAACCAATGACTGGACGAGCCCACAACTTTCATTTTGCTTCAAGTCACCACTTATTGGGGGAGTGAATTGCTTTCTCTTCTTCCTCAGGGTAAACCTATAAAGCAGGAAGAAAGTCAGTCTTTCTCTGGTCCTGGCTGTTTCTTGTTGCTAAAGAAGTGGCAAACAGCCGAGTGGGTACTGGCACATTCGCGCTCACTCTTCTCATCTCAAATAGGCTTGCCAAATAAAATACAGGATGTCCAGTTAAGTTTGAATTTTGGATAAATGAGGAATACTTTTTTAGTAGAAGTATATCCCGAAGATTGCAAGTGTAACTGTTTATGCGTGTTGCGGGGGTGGGTATGCACGTGCTTAATCTGGCAACTCTAATCCCCAACCACTTCCCGTTTTTGTTTTCAAGCATTTACAGAGTGCATTTAGAGTCTGTTCATCAGAAGGGTGTCCATCCCACTCCTAATGGATTATGCTGGAGAGCCGCCATCTTTAAGAGGAGAAGTCCTAACATTTCATTTCTGGGAGGACCTGGGATCACCTCAGATGGGGAACTAAGGAATGCTGGGAAGAATGTGGAACTGTGGGAGTGCAGGGTGGATCTGACTTCTGGTCCCAGCTCTGCTTTTGACTGAATGATCTTGGACAAATTCCTTTGCCTCTCTGGGCTTCTTCTTCCTTATCTTGTAAAAGGTGGGGGTTGAACTGGAGGGTCTCTGAGTGGAGAAGATTGGGAAGAAAGTTCTGGCCTGGATGTGGCATGTGAGGCTGCTGAGGGCGAGGGGTGGGAATGAAGGCAGGACTTCAGGCCGTTCTTCCCTCTGCAAATGCTTCAGAGGACAAAGGGTGGGAGCTGTGAAAGGAATCTGTGGGCTACCAGGCATGGAGTTTTGCTTTAACACAGAATTGGGCTTGAAATCCTGGTGTTTCAGGTCTTGATGGAAAACACACTGTCACACCAGAATGGGAGGTGGGGCAGTTTGGGGTGTGCCCCTCTCCCATTTCCCCACTGACCTGAGCACCACAGCCTATACATGGCGTCTGGGGGCCAAGTCCTCAGGAGGCCTCTGAGGTATCTCTTGGCTGAATGTCCCGGCTGGATCTGCCGTTGGGCCTGGCTCTCCAGCTGGCTTCGGAAGTGGAGGTATGGTTGCCAGGCTCTGTCCTGCTGTCCCTGTGGGGACACCAGTCAGGAAACAGTACAGCTGCTGAGCCCTGAGCCACCCAGTGATATAGGCTGGTTAGCACAGTCTTCATCAGTAACCCAGGAAACTCCCAGAAGGTGCCAGAAGGCACCAAAAACAGATGCCTTGGCTAATAGACATAAACCAAGAGCCCTCAGAACAAAGCTCTGAAAGGCCCCTGCACGTTTGCAGTTGGAAGCAGAAGGAGAAATGACATATACCAGACTCCATCTTGAGATAGAGCATTAGGAAAGGGTAAAAACTTCAGAAGAAAACACATTACCTAGTTCAGCCTGTGGACATCATTTTAGTGTCTTCAAAAATGGCTCTGTACTGTAATGGGAAAGCCAGCTCACAAATCTGCATTGGCATTCAGTGTTTGTAATATGAATACTGGGACAGACAAATCATGTCCGTGTTCACGGGGAGCCTGGCATTTTGAAAATATCTGGCTCTGATGCATTTCATTTAAGCTGGGGAGAATTTTCTGGGAACCTACCTGCCAAAGTCAGTGCCACCGTGCAAGACATCATGGGGAATAAATATGGATAATAACTTCTTACAATTGACTAGGAATTTACATTACACAGAGAACTTTCACCTCATCTGTAATCCTATAAGGTGGACTGAGTTACTATAACCACTTAACTGACGTAGAAGCTCTCAGAGGATGATTGCTTAGGCACAAGAATAGCAAATGTGTGATATTTGTGTTGACATCTCTCACCCTTCCCAGTGTCCATGGCAGACATTCCTAATCAATCACAGAATTCTTGACTGCTGAACTGAAGGTGATCTCAGAATCCATTTTCTCCTTAAAAACATTTTTGAAACTGAGGCATAATTTATATAGCATAGATTATACAGAGCTTGGATGTTCATTTGATAAATATTGACAACTGTATATACCTTTGTAACCACCACAGAAAACAAAATCCAGAACATTTTCATCCACCCAGGAAGTCCCTCATGCCACTTTTTAGTCAATATCCTCCTGCCCACTAGGTAATTGCTATTCTGATTTCTAACACCGTGGACTGTTTTATTCTATTCTTGAACTTCATATGAATGGAAACAGACAGCATATATTCTTGGATGCTCCACAAAAGTGATCCACACAGTGTGCCAGTGAGAACTGGCATGAGAGATGAAGCCCACTTAGTCCCCTTTGGCTAAGGAACTCTCCCAAGGCAACGATATAGCCTGGAAGGATAGAGGGCAACTGTGTGGAGCCAGTTAGAAGTGGAGTTGGGCTTGAATCTAGGGTTTCAGAATCCACATCAGTGCAAAGCCTCTTGTTCTTCAACAACTGACCATCTCATCAAAGGACCAAGAGTTAGCACCATGAACCAGCTTGATGTCAAAACCATAAATAAAGATGTTTTGAAGTAGGTGCCTCAGTGAGTGTCGCAGACTGTAAGAACTATCTTCTACGGAGACCAGCGTTTTCATACGTGTTAGTATGCAATAAATCCTGACTCAACAGACTTGAACAATGAGAAAGAAAGTTTGTTGTCTCATGTAACAAAAAGACCAAAGGCTAGAGAATACCAGGGTTGGTTAATTCAGTGGCTCAATAGCTCTGGCATCCTGAAACTCATCCTGTAGGCACCAAATATCTTTCTAACCTTCAGAACAGTCTTTCATTTCAGTCTTATGGGCCTGCAGAGGCTGAACAATGGACACAGGGAAACATCAAGTGGGTCCAAAAAGCACAAGCCGAAGAGTGGGAAGGAGACAGCCTGTGACAAAGCTTGGGAAAGAGCCTTGGATTTACGGCCAGAGTGCCTGGGCTCAAGGCCTGCTCTGCCTCAGGGGAACTTTATGATCTCGGGTGAGCTCTGGAACCTTCTGGACTTCTCTCTAAAATGGAGCTAAATAGTGGTAGAGGGAATGGAGAGTGCATGGGTTCTGGAATCCACCCGAGAGTCAGGTTTCGCAGTGCCTGGCACATACTAGGGGCTCAATATTGTGGGGGAAATGAATAAATGAACAAATAGTTCCAATCCCAGCCCCACCATTTCTCAATCGTGTAATTGTTATATAATTTCACCCATAATGCTGGCATAATACCTCCTTTTTGGTGTAAATGAAATAATGTAAGTGAACGGTGTCCCACTGAGCCAGCTTATAGTAAGGTGACAGGGTGCATCCTCTCACTCCCTGTCCGCCCTGCACTTGTGAAAGCGCTTTCCAATCTCTCAGTACTCCTAAAGGGCGCTGAGGAGAACACAGTGGAGACTGAGCAGAGGCTTTGCCTTAAGATGGGATTGATCTTGAGATCTTGCCCCATCCTTGGGCATGTTAATTACTTCTCTGAGTAATTTTACTCAGTGTCCTCAGTGTAAGGATTAGATGAGCTGAGGTATGTAAAATATTTAATGCTTAGCACATAGTAGCTGGTGAACAAATATTAGGTCTTTTCTCCTTTCCCTTGTCCAGGTGGTGGGAGATTATGCTAACTGCTCAACACTTATTCCCCCTCGCTTCTTTTTGCTAAAAAAGCCCTGATTTTTTGTCAGCAGATCCCCTTTCCCAAATAGTCATCCCTTGTTATCTGTGGGGAATTAGTTCCAGGACCTCTGTGGATATTAAAATCTGTGTATGCTCAAGTCCCTTACATATTATAAAATGGTGGTAGTAATATTTGTACAGTATAGCCTGTATGCATCCTCCTTATTCTTTACATTGTTTCTGGCAACTTATAATACTGAATACAATGTAAATGCAGTATAAATAGTTATACTTTCTTTTTTTTGTTTGTTTGTTTGGATTTTTTTTTTTTCCTGAATATTCTGAATCCCTGTTGGTTGAATCCAGGGAAGTGCAGACATGGAGGGCCTTGCTTTCCCAGACTCCGTTGCATCTCAGAGTGGCCAAGGGACCTAGCTCTGGTCAATGAAACTAAGGGGAAACTATTGGGAGCCTCTGGAAGGTCTTTGTATCTTTAGAGAAGGAACAGCTGTGCAAGGATGGCTTGCTGGCCCCTTTCTTCTGCTTTGAACCCAGATGTGACCTCTGAAAGTACGGGACCATCTTGTGAACATGTGCTAACAAGCCTAATTAGAAAAACCAACATTCAAAGGATGGTGGAAGGAAAAGATAGCGCTTGCGTCCTTAATGGCATTGGCGAGCAGCTGGGCAAGCATGAAACTCTGCCCTTTCACTTTGTGTTACTTGAGATAATTAAATCTCTTTATTGCCTAAATCAGGGGTTGGCAGACTTTTTTTTTTTTTTTTTGAGACTATCTTGCTTTTTCAACTAGGCTGAAGTACAGTAGTGCTAATTTGGTTCACTGCAACCTCTGCCTCCTGGGTTCAAATGATTCTCCTGCCTCAGCCTCCAGAGTAGCTGGGATTACAGGTGTGCACCACAATGCCTGGCTAATTTTTATATTTTTGTAGAGACAGGGTTTCACCATGTTGGCCAGGCTGGTCTTGAACTCCTGACTTTAAGTTATCCACCTGTATCAGCTTCCCAAGGTGCTGGGATTACAGGCGTGAGTCATCATGCGCAACCTGGAAGGTATTTTTAAAGGGCCAGAGAGTAAATATTTTAGGCTTTGCAGGCCATATGGTCTCTGTTGCCACCACTCAACCTGTCCTTGTAGTGCAAAAGCATCCATAGACAATATGTAAACAAATGGTCATGGCTGTGTTCCAATAAAACTCTATTTACACAAACAAGTAATGGGCAGGATTTGGCCAGTGAACAGTGTTTGCTGATTCCCCAACTTCAACCATTGATAATCATAGTTATCAATGATTGATATCAACATATCAAATGTGTTGCTTGCAGCCAAAAGTATTTCTGATACATGGATACGATATGGGAGCAACAGATTTAAAGCTGCTACAGATTGAAGGGATGGGAAACAAGCACTGGAGAAAAGGGGATGATTAAGATGGATTGATAACTAATAAAATCACATCAAGTGAGTCCAAAATGTACAAGCGGCAGAGTAGGGAGGAGACAGCTTGTGAGAAAGCCTGGGAAAGTGCTCTAGATTTAGGACTAGAGTGCATGGGTTCAAGGTTCAAGATAAAAGAAAGCGTGGCTTACTATTCAATTGGCTTTACTCCTTAGGGACTTATGAATTAAATGAATGCTTAGAATTCAAACATAGAGCATCACCTGCTCCTTAATGTCTGGAAAGTTTATGTGGCAGGTACTTCAAGTGCAAAAACAGCCTAGAAATTTAGTCTCATGTGGTCTTGAGGCTTTTCCCAGAGGACATGAAAGAAATAATTATAGAGAGGATGGTGGAAGCTAAATGACACTTTTACTCACTCAATTTTTTCATTCAGTCATACGATAAATATTTGTTGAGTACTTTTTATATGCCAGACACTGTGTTGGGCCCTGAAATACGGAGCCATTAGACCAGAGGCCTTTTCTGGGTAAATTGGAACTTCATTTCTTTTCCGTGAATCTTTGCTTTGACTGACTTTCCTCTGAATGCAGTAAGGACCAGTCTCTTCTGAGATGCTGTGGTGGCCCCTGTGCGGATGGCATGATGTGCTGTTTGAGTCTGGACAAGAACCCTTGTAGTTTCTCGTTAGTGGGCATTTCTTTTTCTTTTCTTTTCTTTTATTTCTTTTTTCTTTTTCTTTTTTTTTTTTTTGAGAAAGAGTTTCGGTCTTTCGTCCAGGCTGGAGTGCAGTGGCATGATCTTGGCTCACTGCAACCTCTGCCTTCTGGTTTCAAGTGATTCTCCTGCCTCAGCCTCCTGAGTCGCTGGGATTACAGACACCCAATACTACACCGGCTAATTTTTGTATTTTTAGTGGAGATGGGGTTTCACCATGTTGGCCATGGCTAGTCTCGAACTCCTGACATCATGATCTGCCTCCCAAAGTGCTGGGATTACAGAAGTGAGCCACTGCGCCCAGCCATTAGTGGGCATTTCTGAAGCACCAGCTTGGTTCTGAAGCTTTACTGAGAAGCTTGCACCATGGTGCAGGGAGTTGCCAAGAAGAGTTAGGGAAT